GGAGGAGAGGGGGAGTGGGGGAAGGAGAAGAAGGGGGAGGGGGAGGAGAGAAGGGGGAAGGGAAGAAGGGGGAGGGGGGAAGGAGAAGAAGGGGGAGGGGGGAGGGGGGAGAAGGGGAAGGGTGAGGGGGGGGGAAGTAGGAGAAGGGAAGGAGGGGAAGGAGGTGGGGAGGAGGAGAAGGGGAGGGGGGGAGGGGGGAAGAGAAGAAGGGGGAGGGGGGGAAGGAGAAGAAGGGGGGAGGGGGAAGGAGAAGAAGGGGGAGGGGGGGAGAAGGGAAAGGGTGAGGGGGGGGAAGTAGGAGAAGGGGAAAGGAGGGGAAGGGGAGGTGGGAGGAGGAGAAGGGGAGGGGGGAGGGGGAGGAGGAGAAGGGGGAGGGGGGAGGGGGGAGGAGGAGAAGGGGGAGGGGAGGAGGAGAAGGGGAGGGGGAAGGAGGGAAGAAAGGGGAAAGAGGATAAGGAAAGGGGAAAGGACGAGAAGGAGGAGGGGGAGAGGTAAGGGGGGAAGGGAAGAAGGGAAGGAGGAGAAGGGGAGAGGAAGGGGAGGAGGGAAGGGGGAAGGAGAGGGGAGGAGAAGAGGGAGGGGGGAGGAAGGGAAGGAGGAGAAGGAGGGGGAAGGAGGGAGGGGAAGGAGAGAAGGGGGAGGGGGAAAAGAAGGAAGAAGGGGAGGGGGAAAGAAGGAGGAAGAGGGGGGAAGGAAAAGGAAAGGAAGAGGAGGTTGTGCAGATGAAGGAAGGAAAGGGTTAAGATGAAAGAAGTGAAGGAAATAAGACCTGGACAAAAAGCACAGGTAAGCTCTACTGCCCACCCTAATTTCAAATACACAAGCCTCTTTCATCATCATTACAACAATTAGACACGAAGTGCTAAAAGCTCCAAAAACAAGCTGTTTTGCAAAGTTGGTGTTATAATCCATTTTCTTAAAAAAAGTGTAGCACCTGTTGCAAGAAAAGTGCAGAGATGAGTCGTCCCTGCAATTAGCAACACCTCTGGCACAACCACCACCAGGAGGCAGGAGGAAGCAGCAGGAGGCAGCAGGAAACAGCAGGAGGCAACAGACGGAAATCTGGTTATTTTTCCAGAGATTTTAAGACGGGTTTCTCACGTTCTCTAATGGTCTTTGCAACTGACGCCGATGGCTCTCGACGGCAAGGGAAAATGGTCTCTAATGACTGCGACACTTCATAAGCACTTACTATATATGAACAAGATGAAGTTCGCGCAATAAACGAATACGTCGAATTACGTCAAAGAACCGGCGAAAATCTACGGGTTTCCACAGCCGGATTTCAATGTCTCGCTCACGAAGGATGCGGTACCTTTTCGCCGCATCCAAATCCCTAATCATCAAATTCAATAAATCTAATCCGTACAGACCTTCCGCGTTTATAACAATACCCAAATCCCTAAATCCAAAAAACAGCCCAAAGAGAAAGCACGAAATACCCAAAATCCAAAGAGTCTTTTCGGGAAAATAGACCCGGAGTCTCTCTACGCGGCGGCGGGGCGGGCGGGACAGGCCGTGACAGGCAGCGGGTGCGCGAGGCAGCGCTGGCGGCGGCGTGTAGTGCAGGCGGGACGTGTAATCAACTTAATCACAGGGTAGATAAGACCCTCGATGGGAAACACTTGAAGCTTCTGCCGCTTTACTTCCCACGGCCACAAGGGCACATGGCGGCGAGACGAGCAGAGGGAAGGATCGCCCTTACGACGCGGCGGCACAGGGCTCATAGTCCCGAGACCGCGGAAACGGCTCTTAGCGTGTGTGTGCTTTCGTCCGGCCTAAACTCCTACAGACGGTGAATTACCAAGCTAATTAACTACCTCGAGCTGGAGGCCGGACGAAGCAGCGCGGATTTGGCGGCGCCTCGGAAGCCCCCTCGATGGACGGACGAAGGGGGGGGGGGAGGAAGAACGGAAAACCGGGAAGGAGACACAGGAGAATTAGGCTGAAAGGTAGATGAGGGGAAAATGAGGAAAGGAGGCGAGGAGGAGGAGGAGGTAGGAGAAGAATTGAAAGGGAAAGGGGTGAGAGGAGGAGGAAGGAGAGATGGAGGACAAGGAAGAGGAAGTAAAAAAACAGAACAGAACTAAGCCAAAACACAACAAAACCGAACAGAAAAAAATAGATCAAGAGAGAAAAAAGGAAGAGGAAGCAGAGAATGGGAGGCGCAAGAAGGAAGGGCTGCGGTGGGCGGGGCAAAGGGGGGGGGGGGAGAAGGGGTGGGGAAGGGGGGAAGGGGAGTGGGAAGGGAGAGGGAAGGGAGTGGGGAAGGGAGAGGGAAGGGGAGGGGGAAGGGAGAGGGAAGGGAGTGGGGGAAGGAGAGGGAAGGGAGAGGGAAGGGGAGTGGGAAGGGAGAGGGAAGGGGAGGGGGAGGGAGGGAGAGGGGGAAGGAGAAGGGGAGGGGGAGGGGAAGGGAGGGGAGAAGGGAAGGGAGGGAGAGGGAAGGGGAGGGGAAGAGAAGGGAAGGGGGAAGAGGGAGAGGAGGAGAAGGGAAGGGAAG